ATCTAATTTGCCAGCAGTTAAGAAATAGAACAATAGCCATTGCAACCACATGATTTATAAGCCTCCTCAAATAAACCTGTAACTGTTTAAGCTTTAACCTGACTCCTTCAGTTGCTGTAATAGAACCAAGCACAATTTAAAAGAACTTCAGCCGGTCATAAAGGGACAGATATAGGGAGAGCTTGGGCGTTTGGATTTGTGTCACACCCAGGTGGCAAAATTCAGTTGGGGCGCTTCTCAGTCTCCCCGAGGCTGCCCGCTGCGAAGGAATTATGAAATTCTAGCAGCTGAAATCTGAAGCGTAATAAGCTCTCCCTGTACACTTATTGGGGCGCCTTTCAGCCTCTTCCAGGCTGCCCACTGCAAGGGACCTCGGTCTCAGCAGTTAAAGTCTTAGGCGTATAGTACACACACACACACCACTCGCTGCCCTGACCATTGGCTGACACTGACTTACCTGATTTGCATCCCTTTTCCGGAAATTGTGGCCAGTGTAGACGTAGCCATGGTGTTTGTGTAAGTGATTTTCCTGCCTCCTTTGTTTATGTCTTTTGTGAGATTTATACACGTGGCTTAAAATGAGACAAAAATAGAAAATTCCTAAATACAAATAATTGGCAAACAAAAGCCTCAGCTGGTGTAACTCACACACTTAGGCTATGTCTACGCTGCCGGCTTCTTGCGCAAGAACAGCTGTTTTTGCAGAGCGTCCATAGTACAAGCCCATTCTTGTGCAAGAAAGTTTACAGTAGATTGTCAGAAGAGAGGGCTTTTTGCACAAGAGTTATTCCTCTTCCCATGAGGAATAAGCCTTTTTGCACAAGAGCTCTTGTTCAAAAAGGATAGTGTGGAGGCTCCGCAGGGGGTGGTTACGCAAGAACTAGACTCTGGGGAAAAGCACACGTGCTCTGCTGGACGCTCCTAAAAACTCATCACAGCTCTATAGTTTCTGTCTGCTGGCCCCTCTTAAAGGTGCAGGCCCCCTGCAGAAGCCCCATGGTAGAAAGCTTTTTCCAAAGCAGCAGCTATCTCCATGCGGCTCTCCCTGCTACAGCCAGCACAAAGCATGTCTGCCCCCCGCGACTCTTCTGGTCCTCATGGGGAGCAGCCCCAGGAGTCAAAGGACCCATCCAGGGGCACCAAGAGGCATGCACCCGCCTGATCTGATCATGAGATCGAGGCCCTTTCGGAGCTGTGGGGACAAGAGGAGGCCCTGCAGGATCCCTGGGCCAGACAGAGAAACACTGAGATCTTCGGCCGAATGGCGGAGACCTTGGCCGACCATGGCCACACACTCCGGTCCTCTGAGCATGTCCGGAGAACGGTGAAAGAACTCCGTCTCACCTACATGCAGGCCAGCAAGGAGACCAAGATGCTTTGTTTCATTTCAGCATAGGCTTCTTTATTGGGAATTGAGGGAAGGGGTAAAAGACAACGAAACCGCACCTTCAGATTGCCAAAGGCACACTCCACCTGGTTCCTGGTCTGGTTCAGGTGGGCATTAAATTGTTGCCTGCGGGGGTCCCTGTTGTCTGGTGTATGGCTTCATAAGCCATGGCATGATGGGATAGGCCACGTCCCCCATGATGCACAGTGGCATATGCACATTCCTGATGGTGAATTCCCAGTGGGGGAAGAATGTGCCCGCTTCCAGCTTGTGGGACAGGCTGGAGTTTCTAAAGATGTGGGTGTCGAGTGCCCTGCCCGACCACCCCACAAACACGTCTATAAAATGTCTATGGTGGTCGACCAGGGCCTGTAGCACCATGGAAAAGTAGCCCTTTCTGTTGATGAAGTGGGCCGCTCGATGGTCAGGTGCTTACACGGGGATGTGTGTCCCATCGATGGCTCCCCCCCAGTTGGGGAACCCCAGGACAGTGAATCTGGCCATGGTGGCATCCAGGTCTCCCACCCCACAAACACGTCTATAAAATGTCTATGGTGGTCGACCAGGGCCTGTAGCACCATGGAAAAGTAGCCCTTTCTGTTGATGAAGTGGGCCGCTCGATGGTCAGGTGCTTACACGGGGATGTGTGTCCCATCGATGGCTCCCCCCCAGTTGGGGAACCCCAGGACAGTGAATCTGGCCATGGTGGCATCCAGGTCTCCCAGCTGGATGACTCTCGTCAGCAGGAGGGAGTTGATGGCTCTCACCACCTGCAGAAGGACACGGAGAAATACAGAAAACAGAGGTTAAGAAGGAGGGGGAGCATGAGCCCTTGTGAGATCCCTGCCTCCTCCCGTACTCTCTCCCAGAAACCTCCCAGGAGCCCCCTCCACCCCAGTCTGCTCTCCCCCCAGCAGCAGGGCTGTGTGAGGGTGGGGTGGCACAATCCCTCGGGGGATGGGTCTTCCCCCACCCCCGCTCCGCCCCCACAGCCAGGACTGACCCCCTCCTCCCCCCCGTGCAGGGACTGCAGCCCCAGAGGGCCCTACATGCATGAGGACAGCCCCAACAGAGGTTGCCCACCGACCGGTAACTGTCCGGGGTGTCAAGCTTCCAGAGGGCAATAGTGACCCTCTTCTGCAGGGGGATGCTTGGCTGCAGGTGGGTGTCTTGTCTCCAGAGGGTGGGGGTGAGCCAGGCACACAGCTCCAAAAAGGTGTCCTTCCTCATTCTGAAGTTGTGGAGCCACTGCTGGTCATCCCAGAGCTCCATTACCTGCTGGTCCCACCAGTCGGAACTGGTGTCCAGCCTCCAGAATTGCCTCTCCATGGTGGGCTGCAGGTCCAGCTGTGAAGCTGCAGCACCCCGAGAGAGGGACTCTGCAGTATTGTCATGGTCACGCTCCTGGAGTAACAGCATGGCACCGTATATTATGTGCAGCACATAATCAAGCATGGCCATGTGGGGCCAGGACGTGCTCTGGGGCAGCTCCAGTTCCATGGTAGCAATCAAAGGGCAATAGAAAGTTTGTTGTATTTATCAATTTAAAAAATAATAATGCCACGGGACTCCATTCTACATACACTGAAGACAATGGGTGTCTTTTTCAGATCAAACCCAAACAGCATAAGGCCCCATTCTGCAGTCGGCACCCAGAACATATCAGGGGCCTGTTGAAGTCATTGTGGCTCTAAGCAGATGCAAAGGTCTGCCCATGCTGAAATGATGTGGTGAGGTAATGAAAACCCAGTACTAGATGTCTATTTTAACTTTAGGATATATCCTCCTTGTTGATAACATGGTGTTAAGTTTAGGTATCAAATAAACTAATTTTCTAGTTCTGTAAGGTCTTTTAAACCATTGCTTTTTAAAATGTAAATGGATCAAAGGAAAAGGGAAAAACTAATCTATCTATGTTCACTTTCTAAGTGACAAAGCAGATGTAGTTTAGACTTGCAATAGGGTATATTATATTCAGTTGATTCTTGCCTCTTGAAAATGACCACTTGACTACAGTTGTTAGCACAGTTCTTTATCTCAGCACTCTGGGGGTAAGTCTAAACTACATGCCTCCGTCAACGGAGGCATGTAGATTAGCCAGATCGGCAGAGGGAAATGAAGCCGCGATTAAAATAATCGCGGCTTCATTTAAATTTAAATGGCTGCCCCGCTCTGCCGATCAGCTGTTTGTCGGCAGATCGGGGAGGTCTGGACGCGACGCGCCGACAAAGAAGCCTTTCTTGATCGGCACAGGTA